AACGACTAATTAGAATTAAGCTAACAGCTAACCAAAGTTAAGCTAACACCTAATTAGAATTAAGCTAACAACTAACCAAAGTTAAGCTAATGACTAATTAGAATTAAGCTAACAGCTAACCAACGTTAAGCTAATGACTAATTAGAATTAAGCTAACAGCTAACCAAAGTTAAGCTAATGACTAATTAGAATTAAACTAACAGCTAACCAACGTTAAGCTAATGACTAATTAGAATTAAGCTAACAGCTAACCAAAGTTAAGCTAATGACTAATTAGAATTAAGCTAACAGCTAACCAAAGTTAAGCTAACGACTAATTAGAATTATGCTAACAGCTAACCAAAGTTAAGCTAATGACTTTAGCTATAAGCTACTAAGAGTTAAGCTAACAGCTATTAAGAATGAAGCTAGCAGCTACTCAAAGTTAAACTAACAGCTACTTATAATTAGGCTAACAACTTTTTAAAAGCAAGCTAAGAACAATTCAGAATCAATCTGAGTACCCAGAGTTAAGCTAACACCCAATCAGAGTCAATCGAACAGCTGTAAACTATTGGGAACTCCGAGTCAAGCTAATAGATACTGAGTTAAACTGCTCTTATTATGAATAAAAGCTCACTACATGCATAATGTATACTTTTTGAAGCATCACAATCAGTTGAAGCATCACAATCACTTGACTTTATGACCTTAATTTTCAACCACATCCAGTTTAAAAGCATCTGGTCAGCATCTGGACGTTCACCGTGCCCAAAGTTCCACTCTAATTTTACACAGTATTATTAATGTAAAGTATATGCTAGCAGCAATAGGAAATCTTCCCCACCCTTCATCTGTAGAAACACTCCTTTTTGATGGTGAAACACACTAAAGCTGAGCTGGGAACCTCACAGCTTTTGCTTTTTAACCAAAAAGTTTGAACTTTTTGTGGAAAAAGAGAAGGAGGCCTAGGATCCTCCTTTCTGCTGCCATTATTGTGGCTTCACTGATGAAGATAAATGACTGAAGCTAACCACATTGCAGCAGAGCTCTCATTAGCCATGAAAGCAGAGGGCCTGTGCACTGATTACAATGTGCATTTGTGTGCGGTACAGTTTGTCCATGTACTCTTACCACATCAAGGACAAGTGTATTGATGTCGAAGTTCGGCTTTTTCTTCATGCTGCGGATGACACAGCTCTGGACTGTGGTGCCCCCACATTCCACCTGCAAGCTCGGAGACGTAACGCTCGCCAACTGGAAGCTCTTAAGGCTTCGAACACCCCACGCTAAGATCTAACAGAGGAAGATTGGAAGAGAAGGACAGTTTTATGTTAAACGGACTGTTCGCCTATTTACTTCATCAAATGCCATTAAACGTCAAAATAATGAACTGGAGCCTTAAGGAAAAGTTCTTTTTTAAGTGGGGTTCTGTGGATTAGTTTTGAGCAGTCAGCATGTACTCATGATGAAACCAGCAGCTACTCAGAGTTTAAAAAAAACTGGATACTTACAGTCAAGCTAACGGATACTTACAGTCAAGCTAACGGCTACTTACAGTCAAGCTAACGGATACTTACAGTCAAGCTAACGGATACTTACAGTCAAGCTAATGGATACTTACAGTCAAGCTAACGGATACTTACAGTCAGGCTCCCAGTTACTCATGATCAATTACCAGCTCTTCAACGTCAAGCTGATGCGTACTCATAGTCAAGCTAATGGCTATTCAGAGTCAGGCTAACAGCTACTCACAGTCAAGCTAACAGTTACTTGGAGTCAGGATAATAGCTACTCATATCTAAGCTAACGGCTACTTGCTGTCAAACTACTAGTTTCTCACATTCAATTTACCAGAACTTCATTGTCACGCTAACAGCTACTCAGATTCAGGCTAACAGCTATTCACAGTAACGTTAATGGCTACTCACAGTCAGGCTAACAGCTACTCATGGTCAAGCTATTGGCAACTTAGAGTCAGGCTAACGGCTACACATATAAGCTAACGGCTATCCACATTCGGGCTAATGGCTACTTGCTGTC